GGCGCCTGGGTGGCTTAGTGGGTTAAAGCCTCTCCCTTCAGCTCAGGTCATGGTCCCAGGGTCCTGGGATCGAGCCCCGCATCAGGCTCTCTGCTCAGCAGGGAGCCTGCTTCCCTTCCTCTCTCTCTGCCTGCCTCTGCATACTTGTGATCTCTGTCTGTCAAATAAAATAAATAAAATCTTTTTTTTTAAAGATTTTATTTATTTATTTGTCAGAGAGAGAGAGGGAGAGAGAGCAAGCACAGGCAGACAGAATGGCAGGCAGAGGCAGAGGGAGAAGCAGGCTCCCTGATGAGCTAGGAGCCCGATGTGGGACTCGATCCCAGGACGCTGGGATCATGACCTGAGCCGAAGGCAGCTGCTTAACCAACTGAGCCACCCAGGCGTCCCATAAATAAAATCTTTTTAAAAAATAAAAATAAAAGAAAGTTAAGAGCATTTGAAAAGGTGAAATAAGGTAACATGGAAATTCCCAGCATAGTGCCTAGCAGAGGCTGTTTGCTCATCGAAAACTAGTTTTTCTTCCCTTTTTCTTTCCTGATCCTGACTTCTGACTTTCCTGCTCCCCAGGAGCTCATTCTCTGTCAGAGTTTAACCACTGCCACAGATGGGTTCTCTGATTTCATCCAGGCAGATCATATTCTTGGTTTCTTAGTGACACCTGAAAGAGGATTCTTTCTCCTATATAAGGTTGGCTGAAAGCCTTGCTTGGTCTATTTCCCTTATGCCTAAACCAATATCTTGGACATTACCATTCCAGGGAGAGATGAGACAAGACTCAGCAATGCCAGAAAAAAATGAGCAAAAGTCACACTACCAGGACAGGCTTAATTATACCCACAAGGCTCCAAACTGCCCCCGCTCAAAACATGATCAAATCAGAGTAACAACACTTCTTTCTCCTTGACGAGGCTGAATGTGTTTTCTTCTTGTTGTTGTTGTTATTCAAGGCCAGTCCTGGGGGAAAGAATGGGGAAGGTAGGGTGAAGACCATTAGCTGTCCTCCAAAATCCATCCATCCCTTCCATAGAGATTCGGCTGGGATATGACTGCCTGGATAGAAACTTCATTTGCTGGCTCTCCTTGCAGCCAGTTTTGGTCATGTTACTAAGCCCTTATCAGCGGTTGTGAGCAGATGGGATATAGGCAGCTTTTGCCTTGCTTGTGTAAGAGTAAATCTGTGGCTCTGGAATTCTGTTCTTTCTCTCTCCTCTCTATCTAGAAATGCTCCAGACAGAGTGCACTTGGAAGCTACCTGTTGAAGATGGCAGTCATTATCTTTATTCCGTGAATGACTGAGTAGAGCAGCACCATCCACCTACTGGAAATGCTGCCTTGGATCATACTAAATTCGACCTCCTAATCAAATCCTTATAGTTCTTCAAATCCTTCTTCAAATCTCCAGGAAACATCCACCAATACTTCTCTCTCCTCTTCTTGACCATCACTTATAATATCTGTTCCCCACTTTTTCTTGTAAACTACATTGTTTCCTATGTGGTGCTGTTTGGTGTTACTTTGTTTTGTTCTTTTTTTGGTGTGTGCTTCTTGTGGGTTTAACAGAAGGAGATCCTAAGAGGTGACTCCTTTGCTTCTGCTCTCATTTCCCCAGTAGCACATCTGTCATGGACACTGATGGAGCCCAAAGAGGCCCCCTTCCCCAGCTGCTGTGGGTGTTGCTGCCATCAGTTTGGAGCTGCTCCCTTCTCCAGAGATTTGGCTTCAGCCAAATGTGAGCATCCGTGGGAGGTCAAGTGCCCCCTCTAGCAGCCAGCAGCCAATGATGCGTGACATGGAGCAGGAAATGATAGCCAAAAAAGGTGGAGCAATTCTGTGATGAATACTGAGCTTCAGAACCTTCCCGAGGACTCAGGCTGTTGCAGACCTCCAACCAAGATAACTTCCTTGCTTAGCTTTCTTCCACTGTGCTAGCCTGCTGTAAGCTCACATGTGCCACTTGTCTCCAGAGAACTGCTCTCAGCTGATGAGAACCTCCTTACAACCCTCCCCTTGTCCCCTCTCCCCACCAGAGTGGGTCATAATCAATGCCTTACTGATACAGGGGCATAAAGGACCAGACCCCTGGCTTCAAGGGGGTATAATCCTGCTGTGCAGTTTTTGCCCCAGCCATGTAGACCAGTTCCCTGTTGATCAGACCAGGGATAGACATGACCTGAGACACACTTCGTCCTTTCTCCCTTGCAAGTTTTTTCTGAAAACTGCCCAGTCAATAAACGCCTGTCTCAGACTCTCTTTCTAGGGAACCCAGCCTCAAGCTATCAGCATCAGTATTCTGCTATCATTTCCCCAGATCACTTTCCCATTCATTTCTGGGGACTATTCAGATCTACACCCTGGGTTGGGTGTTCAGTGGTGCCAAAACTGGGTTAAAGGTGGTGCAGCAGTTATATGGAGAACTGGTGGGCTCTACTGAAGTAATTGTAAGGGATACCTACTAATTATGGTTGTTATAAAGGTATTCAGAGCTAAATGAATTAATGTATAAAATGCTTAGACCACTAGCTGACATATAGTAAATGCTCGAAAGTGTTAGGGCAGGGGTTTCTTTGATCTTTTTTACTTATGAATCCCCAGAGTGCCGAGATGCGTGCTTGGCACATAGTAGGCCCTCCATAAATATTTGTTGAATGAGTGCTTCCTGAAGTTTTGCTTTGAGGGCTTAACATGTTGTGCTGGGATCTGGCCAGCAGAGGGCAGAACCGGTGCAGATAAAAGATCTTGGGCTCAGAAGAGGAAGGGCCACTGAACTCCAGATAGTTGGTGTTGGGTAGAACTGGGGGGAGGTGAGTACCGAGGTAGATTGAGCCCTTACTTTGTGAATTCAGACCAATAAGTAACTCTGGGCCCTGGAGTTGCCCAGATGTCAGTAGCTCTTCTTTTGAACTTGTGTTCAATGCTAATATACATTAATTTCTGCAACTTACAAGCAGAATTTCTATTATCTTATTATTAATCCCTGTAAGTGTAAGGACTGTGTGAAGGGGAGCCACTTGTGATCTCTGTGAAGTAAATAAATAAATTCTTAAAAAAAAAAAAAGTGGTTTCACCGCATGTCTACCCCCAAGCTTCCTTTGTCTTGTTCTCTTCTTTCACTTGGCCCATTTAGATCAGTCCTCTTTCAAAGCCCAGTTCAAATTCTACCTTTCTCTGAGTCCTCTAAATCTACTCGATCTCGTTTCTTAAAACCGTCCTGAGACCATTCCTATACTTGATTGTATTTCCTGTTTTATCTGGGAGTTTGGGCTGGGTGATCTCTAAAGTCCCATCCAATTGGAGATTTCTGAATCTGTTGTCTTCCTATTTGTCAAATCTTCTAAAGTAGGTCTTTGCCTTCTCCCTCAAGAAGAGCTAAGGAAAGGCTTGAGCACACAGGGAGCTCAGCACAGATTTTATAGGGAGAGAACTCAACTAACTGCTCATAGGAGTGAATTTGTTCTGTGATCCTTCACTCAAGAAACACATAGGCATTTATTTTTATTTTTTCAAAGTGGAAGTAGCTTCCCCCTCCCCTTATTGTACAAGCAACATACTTATGGTCCAATAAATCAAATATCACATAAATTTTTTAAGTAGAAAGGGGAAATCACCCACAGTCCTTCTCTTCAGAGATAATGGCAATTAAAATATTCTTTCAGAGTTTTTGCTATATACAAATATATATGTTTCAATAGGGCCTTCTGGAGAACCCATGTAGATCCCTTAAATAGAATCAAACAGAACAGTGGGAGGTCCCAGTCTGGGATTTGTAGCTTGTAGGGGATTCACTCGCGGCATTGCATATATGAGACCGAACCATATGAAAACCACTGATAGCTGCTTTTTGACCTACAAACACAATTTTATGATTTAACCCAATAGCTGTGAAGCCCAGAATGTCAGAACTGGTAGAGCCCTTAGAGACTTTCAGGTCTTAACTATTCCATTTCGGAAGAGGGAAAAGGATCAAAGAGAGAGGTAACCAGCTCATTCACGTACCAGAATCCTTCCACTGAACCAGATGGATACCTGCCTTGCAAAACCTCCTTTTAATTTTGTAATCTTCTAGATGTGATGGTAATCTTGTAGAAGAAGATTACAATTTGGTATCAGAAAACTTCTCACAGAACTTCATCATATCAGAAGAGGCTGTGTTAGAGGGAATGACTGGAGATGTGGCTGGGAAGGGCGCCGTCACACGGCCGGAGAGGCACATGACCCATGGAGCTGAAACACATCACTCCTTAGGATCTTAGGAGGGGTCCTAGTCATGTATCCACATGGTGATGTGTGTTTGTCATTTGCAAAAGGAGGATGTTTTTGAATTATTTTTCTTAAGGAGGGCCCCCAGAATTGCAGACATTTCAGGCCTGGATCCTGTCCTGTGTGGCGCAGTTTTGAAAAGCGGTAGGCAAGGAAACCAGAGTTCCTAGGTTCCAGTCCTATGGTCCTGCTCTTGCCCAAACGGCCAGAATTGTACTTACTTTGCTTCCCTCACAGGGGGGAAAATCACAAATGTTAAATATCTTGGAACACATAAAATGTGAACAAATATAAATAAGTCACCTTACTCAGATTCTTATCTGTGATGCAGTAATCACTGCTGCTCTTCATGGTCGTTGAAGATAACACATCAAAAAAATGTGTCCTCAGGAGCACCTGGGTGGCTAAGTCCGGTAAACATCTGCTTTTGGCTGGGGTCATGATCTCAGGGTCCTGGGATCCAGCCGGGGTCAGGCTCCCTGCTCAGTGGGGAGCCTGCTTCTCCCCTCCCCTCTCTGCCCCTTCCCCCTGCTTGTGCTCTGTCTCTGCCTCTCTTTCAAATACATAAAATCTTTTTTTAAAAAATGTGTCCTCGGGGAGGGGGGTTGGGAGAGGGAGGTGGGGTTATGGACATTGGGGAGGGTATGTGCTGTGAAGTGTGTAAACCTGGCGATTCACAGACCTGTACCCCTGGGGATAAAAATATATGTTTATAAAAAATAAAAAATTTTAAAAAAATGTGTCCTCAGTGCATCTTCCTGTTTCATCTCCCATTGCTACAATTTCCTTTTCTCCTTCCTCCAGCCTCTAGCCCCTAAACCCCAGTACTCCAGCCACTGGGCCAATTATTGGTTATTATCTTTTGCTACTTCTATATATTTGTTCACGGGGCTCCCATTGTCTAAAGTCTACCCTTACTGGGGGAAAAAAAGTCTTTATCCATAAGGCCCAGGTCTGCCAGCCCTTCTCCTCCCACCCTAATGATGATCTCCCTTAGAACTGTTTCTCATTCATCTTACAGATGGGGACACTGAGGCTTGATGTGGTCCATAACTGAGTTCTGGTGTCTTGATATGCTGCCCTTCCCGGCCCGCTAGCCTCAGATCATAGACACACGGTTCTTGATGTACACGTGGTAGGGGTCACTGCGCTTGTCCACTTTGCGGGAGCGGGTATATCCCAGGATGAGGCTGCCCACGGTGGCAGCAAATAGAAACATGACGAAGAGAATGTACATGTAGGAGTTGTCATCACGGCCAGGTATGTTGGCCCTCCGCCCCTCAGGCAGGCTGTCTGGCCCTGTCCGGCAGAGCAAGTTGCTGTGAATAGTGGCATTTAGAGCCTTCAGCACTGCATGCAGGCTCTCGTACCAGGTCTCGGTCCCGTTGGTGGTCTCCATAGCAACAGGGATCCAAATGGGCAAAGAAGTGGAGGATGCTCTGTTGTGACAGAAAAGAGAGAGGAGATGGCTTCTGTCACCTGTGGCTTGAATTGCCTCCCGACCCCTTCAGACCCAACTAAAATCCCAACGTCACAGTTTATTCTACCTACTTGTTTACTTGTCTGTCTTCTCCACTAGGTGGTAAGGTCGATGAAGGCAAAGAGCATGTCTGCTCTACTAACTGCTTTATACAAGCACTTAAGACAGCACTCAGCAGATGCTCAGCATATACTTGTGGAATAAAGCCTTCCTTGACCACTGTAACCCATATGAATTTTTTTTTGATTTTATAAATCATTGAAATGTTTCTTCTCCTTTCTCTCAGAGATTTTTAGTCTATAGCATATAAAATATCCAAAAACAGCCTTGTATTGAAAAACTATGTCATTCCCTTTAAGCAAGGATCCACACTTACTTCTTTCTGGAAGATTTCAATGGTGCTCCCTACCCCACCCCCCGACCTTTTTAAAAGATTTTATTTATTTATTTGAGAGAAAGAGAACATGAGAGGGGGCAAGAGGCAGAGGAGAAGCGGGGAGCACAATGTGGGGCTTGATCCCAGGACTCTGAGATCATGACCTGAGCCAAAGGCAGATTAACCAACTGAGCCAACCAGGTGCCCTGAGTGCTCCCTACCCCTTAACCATACTCCACAAGTTTTACCAGCACAGCCTTCTCTTTTGGCCAGCAATTACAGATAAGGCAATGTGTGGCTATTTTCTTGTTATTGATAAGCAGACCACATGCTCCTGGTCAGCAGGACTGAGTCTCTCCCTCAAGTCTAGGGGACTACCCTGAAACTGGCTGGCTGTTGTGCTTCCCCAGAGTCTACCTTGTGACTGGCTGGGTGTTCTTCCCTCAGCGGGCTCCAGTAAAGATGGCTACTTCAGGGGCTTCTCCATAGGCCAAACACTCAAGTGTTCACTGACCAGTTCCAAAGCCCTCCTGTATCCAGGTAGAGTTGTCAGTCAACCAGTTAACAAACTTGACTCTTAACCATATGGTCTCTTCCCCAGAAAAGATGACAGCTATGACCATGATTAGTATTTATTTATTTATTTATTTATTTTTCAGACTTCTACTTATGTCATTTTTTTTAAAGATTTTATTTATTTATTTGACAGAGAGATCACAAGCAGGCAGAGAGGCAGGCAGAGAGAGAGCAGGAAGCAGGCTCCCCGCTGAGCAGAGAGCCCGATGCAGGGCTCGATCCCAGGACTCTGAGATCATGACCTGAGCCGAAGGCAGCGGCTTAACCCACTGAGCCACCCAGGCGCCCCCATGATTAGTATTTATGAACAACTCTATGAATATAGAAGTTGGGAGCAAAGAATCTAAAAAATACAGCAATCATCCAGGACTGTCCTATCTTTCATACAAGGCCTTTGGGGCTCCCTGCGATTTGGTGCTGGGACTACCTTGTCTGGATGGAGGAAGGGAAGATAACAAGGGCTCATGGACTTAAGATCCAGGAAGCAAAGATTCTCATCTACCACCCCACTTGTCAGGTAAGAAATTTCTGCCTTCTGCTTCCCTCATATCAGCCTATGGGAAGTAACAGCAGCACAATAAATTAATGGCTCAACTGATCATACAGCCAGTCATCATTTACGGAGACCCACTCTTGGGCAGGCCTCATGCTGGGAGCTTAGGGAGGCTCAGACCCAGTCTCTGCAGTTAGGGACACATTGCCAGGTGATCTATACTGCAGGAAACTGATCAGGGACTACTGGGGCTTAGAGAAAGAAGGGACAAATTCTGATCAGGGCTCAGAGAGTGTCACAGTGACAGAGGCATCTGAACTGGACGTTGAAGGGTTTTTTTGAAGTAGAGAAGGTAAGAAAAGCAAAGAGGTGAACAAGAATGACAAAAAGAAATGTTTAGAAGAAGAGAAAATAGCATAAAGGGGTTGGAGTGTAAGATGTGTGGAAGGATAAGATGGGACATGGGATAGAGACGCTGCCCTGAATAAGGTCATGGACAGCCTTGAGTGCCAGGCTGCAGAGTTGGAACTTTATCCTGTAGCTAGGGAAGAGCCATGGAGCAGTATTTTATTTTATTTTTTTTAAAGATTTTATTTATTTATTTAACAGACAGAGATCACAAGTAGGCAGAGAGGAAGGCAGAGAAAGAGGAAGGAAAGCAGGCTCCCTGCAGAGCAGAGAGCCCCATGCGGATGCGGGGCTCCATCCCAGGACCCTGGGATCATGACCTGAGCCAGAGGCAGAGGCTTTAACCCACTGAGCCATCCAGGCGCCCCATGGAGCAGTATTTTAAAAGGGGATACAATGATAAAAGATTTGTGCTTTGAAAGGACACTCTGGCTGCTATGTGGATTGGAGGGAGCAAGAACGGAGGCAGGAAGGCTGGTGACAAGGGTCTTGAAAATAGTTCAGGTAGAAGACACAGAGTCTGGAGCTGGGGCCCCAGGGATGACAAGGTGGGGGTGGGAAGCGATGTGAGATGTGAGAGGCATGTGGGGAAACATTTAGGGATGAAGAGGTCTCGGACAGTTTTACAGGGAGATTAACAGACAGATGGGATGCCTGAAGGAGCCCACTTTGAAAGAAATGGCCTTATTGCCCTGTGTGGGCTTTAGTTTCCTCATCTGTCAGAATGATTATCATCAGAAGTTGTTCAACGGGTACAGAGTTTCAGTTTTGCAAGATGAAGCAGTTCTAGAGATTTGTTGCACAATAATATAAATACAGTTAATACTACTGACTTGTATATTTAAAACTGGTCACTAGGGTAAATTTTATGTATTTTTTTCCTACCACAATTAAAAACAACATCATCCCTGCCCTGCCTTCCTCCAGGCTAGCTTGAGCATACAGTTTTATTATGGTGAAAAAAATGTTTGAACTCTATTCTCCATTTTTTAAAAAAAATTTAAAAGATTTTATTTGTTTGTTTGACAGAGATCACAAGTAGGCAGAGCAGCAGGCAGAAAGTGGGGGAAGCAGGCTCCCTGCTGAGCAGATAGCCTGATGCGGGGCTCAATCCCAGGACTCTGAGATCATGACCTGAGCCGAAGGCAGAGACTTAACCCACTGAGCCACCCAGGCACCCCAGCCTATTCTCCATTTTTTTAAAAATTTTTATTTATTTATTTGACAGAGACAGATAGGCAGAGAGGCAGGCGGGCGGGGGGGGGTGCGGGGAAGCAGGCATCCCGCTGAGCAGAGAGCCCGATTCGGGGCTCGATCCCAGAACCCTGGGATCATGACCTGAGCTAAAGGCAGAGGCTTAACCCATTGAGCCACCCAGGTGCCTCTATTCTCCATTTTTGAGAAGTAAATACATAGACACACTACATACAATGAAGATGAAGTCTCCCCGTTCCCAGGGGTCCAGGCCTCTTTCCCAGAACAGTCCCTGTTACCAGTTTTCTTAGATATCCTTACAAGGTACTTTTAACTGACAGGGCAGAGGAAGGGCAACCTGAATGTGGAAGACTCACCAAATAACAGGCAGATCCTCTGTGGCTCCAAGTCAGCTTCAGGAATCTTCCTGTGGGTGCCTCCGGGCTCCTCAGTCCCTCAGCCTCTTCAGGGTGTCTCTGGACACATCTCAGGTCTCAGTATTGACTTTGGGAGCTGGGAAGGCCCAGAGTTGGAAAGCAGGGGACAAGGCAGGAAAGGAAGGAATCAGACGCCCAGAAAACTCTTCAGAACCAGGGTGGATCTCCCAAGGCTGGGGCCCCAAGTGTTGTGCAATAGCCTTGCTGTGGTTGCTAACCCCCTCCCATTTCCCCTTCCCCTCCCTGCAGCAGCTGGGTCTGGCCAGTCTAGAGTAGCAGTTACAGGAACTGTGCCATGGCCAAGGGACATCTGATTGCTGTCCCTCAATTCCAGGCCTGCAACGTCTCTACTGGGTGACTTTATGAGAAGCCTCGGTTTAACAGGTGGACTGGTGCTCAGGGACCAGCCAATAGTGCAGACTCAAATATTCCTTGTCCCAAGGGTATAGGTATCTTAGCAGAAGCCTCTGAAAGGTTGAAAGAGCCTGAGACCCAAGGGAACGATGTGTGTGGGCAGAATGGCAGCTGGCCGTGGGGTCGATACAATGATGTCCCCAATGAACCTATTCGGACAGACTGGGTAAAACACAGTTACAGCATCAGTGCTATCGGTAGGGCAGCTCATTGTGACAATTAAAGAAGAAAATGGCACAGATGGGGAGGCAGTTTAATTTCTGCAAAGCAGAGGTGGGCAGGACCTTCAGAGTCCATCTGGTCTAACCTCTAGTTAATCTCCTTCATCTTATAGTGAAGGAAATGGAAACCTAAAGAGCTGTCTTGGTTCAGCGGCTACTTGTGTGACGTAGGACATGTGACTTCCCTTTTCTGGGCCTCCACCTCCGTCCGCATCTATAAAATGAAGGGGTTTTATCTACATAATCTGGTAAAGTCAGCTCTAACACCCCCACGAGGGTACAGATCACAAAACCACATTGTGAGGTTATGGGAGGTTGGATAGTTTGGTGGAAGAGGCATTTTGGGGTCTTTCTAGAGCCCCTAAATCACAAGATAGAGAAGGCTGCCGACTTTGTTCTCACAGATTAAGATGTAGCTGAACCCCAGGACCAAGTTGCACTGAATATTCCTGCCTAGATAAACAGAGAGCCAAAATGGTTGACTTGTTCATTTGTCCTCTTAACAGCCCATCTACCTGGGTGATGTAGCCAGGGAAGAAGGCAGACTCTGTGCAGAAAGTGGGGGTGGAGGGATAGTGTGGGGGGTGGGGGGCTCTGAGGTGGGGTTCACTGAGTGGAGTAGAGGTTCATGAAACCGTTCATCCCTCAGATCCTCCAGGAGCCTCTCTGGATAGACCCGGATGTTTGTGGTTCTGGCAGGAGAGGCAAAGAAGCCACTGTAGGTGCTGGGTGGGGTTAGGAATGAGGGCCTGGGCACAGGGGCATCCTGCTGGGTCAGGAGAGACAGAGAGCTGATAAAGGGACAGGTTGATTCTCTTTGCACCACCTCTAGGTCCAAGGATTGCTGTTGGCCTCACTGAGAATTTTGTTCCTCTTTCTGTGCTCCTTGGCTGCACTCATCAAGATAAGTCACTGATTATAAAGTTCATAATGGTGGGAGATGGAGCTCTGCTCTGAAGAGTTCCTAACTTGAAACAGAAGATAGGCCGGTTAAGAAGGAAGGAGAATAGTCACTGACCACACAGAAAGAGATTTTAAAGATTATTTAGAATCTAGATTCTAGGCCAGCTGCTCCATTTTGTAGACAGGGAAACGGAAGCTCCAGAAGGAAAGGTGATTTGCCCAGAATGGCAGGGCCGGTGAAGGGCAGAACTCCAATGAGAACCAGGACTTGGGGGCACGTGCCATATGGGTGCTTTTTCCACTACCAATGGTAACATTCGCTGGCGTCTGAGTTGTGCATCACACTGAACACAGTCTCCTTGTGTTCTGGGGTATCAGGTCCTCGAACTCCATATTCTCACCAATCAAGGATCTGGTAAGGGCTGTGGTGGCGGGGGTGGGGTGGGGTGGGGGAGTTGGCATGTGGGAGGAGGAATTAACCTTCCTTTATAATCTCATCTCCTATGGTCCTTTCTGCTCCAGACACACTCCTGTTACCCCAAACAAGCCAGGAGCACTCTCTTCCTCTACACTCTGTTGCTATTTCTTGCACGTTAACAGGTTCCTCCTGAATGTTCTTTTCTTTTTTTTTTTTTTTTTTTTAAAGTAGGCTCTATGCCCAATGTGGGGCTTGAACTCATGACCCTGAGATCAAGAGTCGAATGCTTTATCAGCTGAGCCAGCCAGGTGCCCCATCCCTGAATGTTCTTGACTTGAACTCACAGGTGTCCAAGTTGGGGTGGAGGTGTAAAGCTGTGATTTGAAGGATGAACTGGGCATCTTAGGTTTTCCTTCAGGTTTCTCTGGGGAAAAGAGAAACTCCACCATTGGTTCTTTTGGTTCCACACTGCTCTGTTTCAGCTACTCTTTCAGAATGAATGTTTTAAGTGCCTGGGAATGTAGTAAAGAGAGGCAAGGGGGGAGTTCACACAAAGAAAATAGGGGGGATCCAAAGACAACCCCTGGGACCACACAATTTTGCCATTGTTCCCTCAGGTGGACTTATCACTACCATTGACTGGGGAGCAGTGGAGTGGGAGAGGAATTAAAGGAATGGACCTTAGCACAGAGTTGGAAGGAGACACAGGAGTAAAATTTGACTGGAAGGGATCTTAATAATCATGTTGTTGGTACAAACCACATTCAACCAGAGCAAAGTAGAGCACCCCCATCTTGAGGAAATCGCCTGCACAAGGCCTCAGTCCAGGGGTAGAGCCAGGACCACAAACAGGTATCCCATCCACAGACCTTTCTACTTTTAGTTCCCTGTTGCCTGGAGGACAATCTAGCCTCCTCAAATTGTCATTTAAGCTTCTTTGGGTGTGACCCTGCCTCTAGCCCCATCTCACCACAGCTGTCCCCAGTACCCTGGGCCACATGATACTGAACTAGAGGCCATTCTCCAAACATTCCTTGCACTTGCACACTTTTTGCCTTTGTTTATGCTGTTTTCTTAGGCAGAGGAATCCCTTTCCTCTTTTTATCTTCCCGTGAACTCCTATTTATCCTTCAAGACACAGCTCCAATGTCACCTCTGTAGACCCTCTCCTGAGACAACCCCCCTTCCCTCCCCACTCCCTAACCAGTTAGTCTCTCCCTCTTGTCTATTCCTAAAGTACTTTGCATAAAACCCTATTTGAACACTGGACTGTACTGAAAGTGTGTGTGTGTGTGTGGGTATTGATACCTACAAATATGTAGGTTAAACCATGTTCTGTGAGGTGTGAGGGCAAGGACCTGTACCTCATACATTTCTTTATTCCCTGGGCCTGAGCACATAGTAGGCACTCAAGAACATATGAATCAATGCCTCTTCTTATTAGACCATCCCCCATCCAGCACACACATACACATTCATGAAAATGGTTTATAGTAAGTACTTAAAAAGCAACTTCAAGAGCAGAAACAGATACCATTTGGTTTGGGAAAGGGGAGACTCAAAGAAAAGAAGCCATCTTGGTTAGGTGGAGAAGTGACTCAGAGGAGGAGGAATTCTAAGCCTTCTTTGGAAGCCCAGATGTTTCCTGGACCTGAACCCCATTGAATCCAAAGGGCAAACATTCTTGGCCCCAAAACACTAGCAGTGGTTTTGCCACCCTCTTCCCTGTGTACCTACCCAGGGTGTGGCCTCACACACCCACCCATAGCACACAAACAGTCCAATTCCCAATCACCCAGCCTGTGATCTTGCCTTTCATGTGTGCCTTTGATGGTTCCAATCTTGGCTGTATGCTTGGCTATGTGACCTCAAGCACTGCATTTCCTTTTCTATTTCCCAACCCCACCTCTAGATTACCGAGAACAACCATCCCTATGTTGCCCCTCCCTCCTCCCTTTGGCTTTCTTTTCTTGGGAGAAGTCAGCAGGTTCTTATGACTCTTCTTGATTCTCAGACATACTTTCCTCCTTCAAGAGCCTTCCCTGGGGTGCCTGGGTGGTGCAGTTGGTTAAGCATCTGACTCTTAGTTTCAGCTCAGGTCCTAACCTCAGGGTCATGAAATGAGCCCCCCCTCAGGCTCCGCACACAGCACAGAGTCTGCTTGAGATTCTTTCTCCCTCTCCCTCTGCCCCTCCTGCTCATGTTTTTTCTCTCTCTCTCTAAAATAAATAAATAAATCTTAAAAAAAAATTTTTTTTAAAAAGCTTTCCTTGTTTCTCATACTCTGATCAGCTCTATAGTCCCCTTCTATTTAGCAGTACCATTCAGTAGTCCTGTGGCTGATGGAGAACACACCAGAACTGGAATCAAGAGACATGCTCCTATTAGGCCATGTCTAGCCATATATCTTGGTTAAGTCACTTCTCCACTCTGGGCCTCATGTTCCCCATCAGTAAGTTGGGGGTTTTGTCTTACCTCTCTCTTGGTAGGTATCTGGAGCACCCACCCATTCAGTTTATGGAGAGAAATGTGTTTTGAGATGTGTGGAGGTTGTGAGGGATGAAGAAGGTTGCTGGTTATCATCTTAAGGAGTCGAGAAAATCTGAAAGCCATTTCTATGTCTCAAGCAGGGATCTGCTCCATTTGGAACCAGCAAAGTGGATGGATGCTAGGAGATAATGAGGAACTTACACATTTATAATGCACCTTTATAGGTGAAGTGGAGAGAGCCGTGCACTAGAAGTAAGGAGACTTGGGTTCCTTCTGCTTCTCTCAGGGTCCTGGTGTGTCCCTGGGCAAGCTATCTCCCCCCTGGGCCTCAGCCACCCCACATGCAAATTGGTGAAGAGTGGGTTGGAGGAATAGGAGGAGATGCTCTTTATGGGCCCTCCTACAAGGGCCTGTCTGAACTCATCTACTTTCTAGATAAGAGCATCCCAGGTCCAGACCCCTTTCCCCTCATGTCCCACGAAGTGTGCAGGCAACAGGACCAAGAAGCCCATTTTACAAGTGGTGACCCAGGAAAAGAAAGTTCAAGGCATACAGCCGGTAGGGGACCTGCACAGGTTTACACAACCTATAAACTAGAACCCACTCTCCTGACTCCCAACCTAGACCTCTGTTATTAGCAACAGAGGGTGTC